GTAACTTGTGACAATCCTCTTGGGATCTAGGCTTACAGGTGTGTGCCACTACCCCAGGCTGCCATTCCATATTTCTTATTTTTATTTTATTTTGGTAATTGTTTAAAATTAGGTCTCACATTAAACCCAAAGTGTTTATTCTTGTTTCTGTTCATTTAAATTAACATCTTACCTGCATTTACTGTGAATCTAGTACTGTTTTAGACTCTTCAGATGGATCTTATTTGTTCCATTATAAAAATAACACTTGGATATTTAAATAAAATAATAGAAACACAGAAAGGTTAAAAAAATAAGACTTACAGGCAGGCATGGTGATGTACACCTTTAATTCCAGTACTCTGTTGGCAGAGACAGATGCTAGCCTGGTCTACATAGTAAGTTCCAGGCCAGCCAGGGCTAAAAAAGCAGCAACAAAAAGCAAGAGTCACATTTATCTATATATTATTTTTATGTTTTTCTTAATGTCCTTTTTGTTACCCTAGTAATGGAAATTTAGATATTTGGATATATTTACCTTGGTTGTTGAGTGTGTGTATGGTTTAAATATCTTGTTTTCCATATTGCTTTCTTCTTTTCTATTCTTTTAAAACTATCTTCTTTCCCCTCACCTTTTATTTTTCATTGTTATTCTTGATAAAATTGTGGTATTTGTAGTAGTAATAAAGGAAACTATCTTTGTGTAGTAGTAGTCCTGGAAAGATGCTTCATGTGTAAACTGATGATAATAACTACTGCTGGAGGGTTATTGTCTTAGTCAGTGTTCAGTGCTGTAAAGAGACACCATGACCATAGCAACGGTTATAAACAAAAGCATTTTATTTGGTCTTTCTTACAGTTTTGGGATTTAGTCCATTATCATCATGGCAGGGAGCATGGTGACATGCAGGTAGACATGGTGTTGGAGAAGTAGAAGAGAGTTCTACATCAGGATCTACCAAGATCTACAGGTAGAGGAAGAGAGACTCTGGACTTGACTTGGGCTTTTGAAACCTCAAAGTCTACCCTAGGGACACACTTCCTCCTACAAGATCACATCTCTTAATTCTTTTCAAATAGTGCCACTCCCTGATGACTAAGCATCCAGATTTATGTGCCTGTTCTTATTTTAACCACCGCATTTGAGGCATAGCTGAGTTACTATATGTAAGATGTTCAGTTGTTCAGTTGACATCTTGACACAGATTTAAAAGATCCTTCATTTTATTATGGTTTAGAAATGACGAGTTTGGTATATCTTTTTCAGTTTGAGTGGCATGGGAGAAGTAAGATTGCCTAGATTTAATTTCTGGATGGTCATATGATTAGCTTTTCTGTTCTTTTTGCATGGCTAGCAATGTAACACTTGTCACCTTATATTCTTTCAGCTGTTACACACTTACTTTGAACAAGGACACACACACACATACACAGACACACACCACACACACACACTACACACACACACACCCACCCACCTATGCAAACCTGGCTTTCAATACCACTTTCAGGTGTGAGTTGATCTAGCTTTCCCTTATAACATATGAGGTAAGAGTTTCGTGTACTCTTACAATGATGGAAGAGCTTAATAGAGGCTTCAATCCAGGCCAGACTAAAGTAATAAAAATTGGTAGGTGACAGAATCTTGAGAGTTGTCCCTGTCCCTTTTGTATGTCTGTGTTATGTGGGGCTGGTTAGGTATACTGATCCTTATCATTAGGATAGAGATCTTGACTATTTCCACAGCTTTCCAGATACAAATCTTTAGTAAACAACACCCTGTCTTTCCCCTTAAAAAACACAACTAAACTTTGCCCAGGATTTTTTCCCCTCCCCTGTGAGAGTTAGCGTGGTAATTTGGAGCATATTACCATGCTGTTTGGAAGCTGTCTGACTGTTTCCATTGTTGCAGCCTGATTGTCCATGGTTTAATCATCAGTAGTTGTGAAGGAAGGTTAAGAAAAAAAAAAAAAAGGGCTGCAGACTGCACAGTACCATAAAAAATTTCCACCTGGAAGCAATTTTTCCTAAAAGCCCTTAGGGACTACTATCACCCTCTGCCTGGATTGGCAGCAAGGACTAGAAGAAACACTAGCTACCCTTAGAGCCAGGCTTTGTTGCGCCCAGCTTCAGAAGGGCTAGAGGAGAGGTAGGGAGATAACAGATCATTCCCAGACGTTCTTCTATAATAAATTCCCTTGAGCCTTCTTTCCCCTTTTCCTCTGGTTCTTTCTGCATTAGCAACTTAACTAAAGTACAGGTTATTTGCAGTAATAGAACTTGAATTTACTTTTTTAGTGAGTCTGTTTATTATCAACTCTAGTGCTTGTCCTTGTGGAAAGTTGAAAACTGTTTGGGTCCTGCCATAGGCTCTTTATAATGCCTTCTCTGTCAAATGTAGGCATTGTTTCAGGTGTGAACTCCCAAGGAACTCAAGGTCCTGTGGGAGAGATAGACATGTAAATAAATCATGTGCTATCCACATGATTTGAATACCATATTGGCATTCAAAGATAGAAGCAAATAAACAGTTTCAAGCAAAGAATATTAACCTTCCACCAGTGAATGTCCTTAATGGTGCCCATTCATTCTTAGGCCTGTTTGCAGTGTTACCAGAGGATAGAATGAGGTGTGTGTTTAAGAGCTTTAGGATAATGGTAGGGTAGGTACTCTACCCCAAACCAAACTTTGTTTCTTTCCTAAGGTCAAGGTCAGTATTAGGGTTAAGTGTAAACTGTGATACCATGGCTGTGAAGAAACAACTCACCTATACCACTCCGAAGCAAGAGTAACCAACTTTTCAGCAGATTTTAAACTATATTCCTTCAAAAATGGACTATTATTGCTTTCTATAATTTTAATTTTTTAGTACATTTATTTATATATGTCTTTATGTGTGTAGCATGGTGGAGGTCAGAGGGAGACTTGCCCTATTCAGTTCTTTTCTTCTATTATATGGGTTTGAGAAATGGAATTCAGATTGTAAGCAGCAAGTACCTTTTACCTGCTGAGTCATCTTGCTGGCCTGACTGTTTGCTTTTGATAGTAATTTTGTAATTCCCTTAGTTTTGGAATTAAATGTTTAATATTTCTTTTTTGGTTTGGTTTAAATGTTAAGCATTTCTTTATAAATATCACTGTTTTTAATTTGTACTCATTAGTTTAAGCCTGGGCAAATCTTGATCCATAGTTTGTGTTTTTAAGCTTTTTTTTCTGTCTATGTTCTAAGATTTCCTTTTCTTTTCTTTCTTTTGATTTTTAATACTTAAATCTTACTTTAAAAAACTATTACTTCTTAGAAATCTTAGAAGTATGGGTTAAGGTATATTTCTCTAGAGAAGATTTATGTTCATTCAGTCAGTTATCTGGGACACTGGGAGTTTGCTTCTAAAATAAATAACAATTATTATTCTTGAGATGATATTTCACTATGTTTCCTGGGCTGTACTTGAATTGAGCTCAAGTGATTGATTCTGCTTCTGACTTTCTTAATCCTGGTATGAAAAAATGTATCTCCATACCTGGCCTTAAAAGAAAGAATTTGAGCAATCAGGGTTCCTTGCCCTGTGGGAAGTCCAAGGACCTCCGACCTCCATCCCGGTCTAGTAAGGTGAGCATCCAAGCTGCCTAGGCTCCCACAAAGCCAGTACGTGCAGTAGGATCAAAAACCCAATGCCATTGTTCTTGAGTTCTCAAATAGTCCTCATTGTCCGCTATATTCAGTGAGTCCGGTATTATCCCAGGCTTTTTCAGACCCAGGCCAGCTGGTCTTGGTGAGTTCCCAATAGAACATCCCCATTGTCTCAGTGTGTGGGTGCACCCCTCGNACACCACGGGGCTCTGTTGGCCTTGTCTGTTTGTTTTCATTACAGCAAAGGTGCTGTAACTGGAACGACTCTCTTAATTGGTGTAAATATCCTTACTGTCTTAGAATAATTATAGTTGTTCGATTCTTATTGGAAAAGGTGAAAACAAAATGCTCCATAAACACTATTTTACACACAGGAGTGTCTGATTATCATTTGTCAACAAGAATCCCAAGTTTGCTGAGTTTTCCCACTACTTACAATTTTTAGTTTGATTGGTTTCAAAGAAGGAATGCACTGGCGTGGGGGCAAACCTGAAAGACACTTACGTGAAAGGTATATCATTTATGGCATTCTTTGTAATAAATAGCTCAAACAGGAAGCACTCCAAATTGCTTGTGGCAACAGACAGATAAATGCTGTGGAATAATCACGTTATTGAATATCATAAAACAATAAAAATGAACAGTGTCCTATGGAGAACAGAGGTTGAAAAAAAAAAGAAAGAATTTGACATTTTTCCAGATTCTATAGATAGTAATAGTATGATATGGAATTGTTCTTTGGTTTAAGATGATTGGAGGTTTTTTCCCCCTCTCTCCTGTAACCAGAAGAGGTAGGTTTCCTTGCAGGCTCCTTTTACTCTATACCGAGATATCTTGGCTTTTTGGTCTCCTTATTTGAGGACTAGAGGCTGTCTCTCCTGTATTTAACAAAAATATGAGGGTGTAGGTGGTTAGCAGAACCTTGGTTTCTCTTCCTTTTCACTCCAGCAACTGCAGATGTTCTTTATTTTCTTTACTGAGAAGTCATACACTAATGGTCTAGAACCTTAATGTAGATTAAGACTTATGAGTAGAAGCACTTTTCATTGTGTATCTAATGCTTGCTTTGCTCACGGGGAGCATCATCTTATTTTGCTGCTTTATTCTCTATTACGTTTTTTGGATGGAAACAACTCTGCTATCTTTCATTCATCCCACAGGATCTTCAATGCTATGGACATAATTATGGAGTTTTAGATTGCTCTGTTTGGTTGGACTCACTGTGGACACCAGGCTGATCTTGAATTTGTAGTTATGCCTTTGAATGTTGAGATTCTACCACCCTGGGTTTTTTTTTTTGTAGTTAATTAATTTTTATTTCCTTAAAGACAGAATCTCACTATATCCCAGGTTGGCTTACTATGTATATAGCTCAGGATTCTTTTTCTTATGTCAGACGAGTGATGTATCCGACTTCATAACAGTTTTGAGGGAGGTGCATGTCACATAATAATGTGGATACTTAATCATCATGCTTATGAATCAAAAAAGATCCTGTCTCAAGTACTCTTATTTCTTATTTTATAATTAGTAACATTTATGAATCAGTTAAAAAAACAATGAAATGAATCTTTTTCTTTTTACACAAATTTGTACAAAGGATAAAAAGCCACTGACAAACTTTGAACCTTTATATCTTCAGCTACTACTGGTGATGATATGTCCCAACAGGGTTTTGCCACGATATTCGTTATGACAGTCTCTGTATCCTTAATTTGGACTGTCCTTGCTTTCATTAGTTTATTTCCTGTTTGATTTCTGTTGATTTGTCTGATATTTTGTGACAGATTTTCTTCTTCTGAGACTTTCTAGTTGTATTTAACACAAGTCACATTCTTTAATAGGTTCTTTAGCTAGGTGCCATCTGAGGCTGCTCCATCCTATTTTTAGACTATCCTTTTGAAAGGGTTTACCCTTTCAAAAGAAGTGCTTCCCTTCTTTCTTGAGGCAGAATTCCCTCACAGCATCCTCTTCGTTGTCTGGGCTGTCTTGGTGAAGCCAGTCAGGTACATTGGGATCTGCAAAGATAGAAAAAGGGTTGGAATATGTGGTTCTCATGAGGTGTCACAAACATACTTGGATATTTTATTAGTTTTTTTTTTTTTGTATTGCTTTCATCAAATACCTGACAAGAAGTAACTTCAGGAAGGAAAGATTTATTTTGGTTTACAGTTGAAGAGGGTACGGTCTATCATGTTGGGGAAGGCAGGGTGGCAAGAGTAAAAGGCATTTGGTTGCATTGCATCACAGTCAGAACATACAGTAATGAAATGTTACCCACTCAAGTTGGTGGTGTAAACCTGGGAGAGTGGAGCCTAAAAAACGAGGCAGACTAAAGTCTCATGCAATAACCAACTTTATTCAGTCCATCAGACATTCTGAGGATATTCTTGAGGGTTCAGCAAGGTCGTATGAGCAAAGGTCACATGACTTTAGACTGTATATTGTTAGGAACGCAAGTCAAGCTTGGAAATATTATTTTGAATAATAATTTGTAAGATGATGGCTAATTTATAATAAAACCCACTCTTATTGTTACACCTGAGAGGAGCATGACAGTCCATTCCAAAACAACCCATTGTTATGGAGAAAAGAAATTACAAGACTTGTCTTGTTTACTTGGAGTTTTCTCACAAAGTCTCAGGAATCTCCTTACAAGGCTTCATTCATGTTGCAACAGTGAGATGCTGGTGTTCAACTTGCTTCTTCCTTTTTTATTGTGTCTTAGTCTCTAGATCAGTGTTTCTCAACCTGTGGGTAACGACCCCTTTGGGAGGGATCACTTAAGACCATCAGAAAACACAGATATTTGCATTATGATTCATAACAGTAGCAAAATTAGAGTATGAAGTAGCAACAGAAATAATTTTATGGTTGGGAGTTGTGGCGGTTTGAAAGAAAATGGCCCCCAAAGGGAGTGGCACTAATAGGAGATGTGACCTTGATGGAGGAAGTGTGTTTTGAGGTCTCCTATGCTCAAGCTACATCCACTGAGACGACTATTTTCTGTTGCCTTCAAGTCAAGATGTTGGGCTCTCAGCTACTTCTCTAGTAACATGTCTGCTGCATGCCGCCATGTTGCACCATGATTATAATTGACTAAATCTCTGAAAATGGAAGCCACCCCATTAAATGTTTTCCCTTTGTAAGCTTTGCTCTGCTCATGGTGTCTCTTCACAGCAATAGAAACCCTAACTAAGACAGGGGTCACCACAACATGAGGAACTATATTAAAGGGTCAAAGCATTAGGAAGGTTCAGAATCGGTGCTCTAGCCCTTGTAAGGTGAGTCTTTCCATATTGGTTAATCTAATCTAGAAACTGCATCATGCACATTACTAGGTGATCCTAGACAAGCTGACGGATCAACAGTAGTATTAACTGTCACAGGTTGTGTGCTCAGGTTAGATTTCATTAATTACAATATGCTTCTCCAGGTTCTGAGGATGATAAACAATGGTTTATTTTCTCTTGTACCCAGAGCATCCAAATTGTAATACTGAAGTTTGAATATAATCAGTAGACATACTGAAGTAAGGAGCAGGGATATAAACTCCATTTGACCTCTTGTAGCCCTCTTTCAACATTGTGCTTAAATCTGTTTTTCCACTTTATTTTTAACTTTTGGAATAAACAAAATTACTAATGATGCTTTTATGGAGTTTAATGAGAAGAAAATGTTTGAGGGATAAAACCATGGCAAGTTAAAAAAGATATACGAAAAAGAAAGAACCAGAATGAACTCTGGGATTTTTTTTCTGGATAATCAAAACCAAAACTCCAAACTAAAATGCTTGCTTAATCCTTTGTGTTTTAAGTTTTCTTTAGTCTCAAGACATCTCAGCAGATATGTTTTGTCTCCTGCATTACTCTTGCATGCATCTCTGAAACTTGGGTAAATCTACTTGCATTGTCTTCCCTCTTTGCTCATTTTTCCATGCATAGTAGAGTCTTTCCACTTCCAGGTCCTATAATCTGGAGATAAAATGGGTAAGACAGTCTTTGCCCAAGGGGAAACTAATGTTCTCGAATGAGGAGACTGATGGTTGAATAGACCATCACAGTATAGTTTGTGAGGGCAGTACTTACAAACAAGGTGGGCATGAAAGGGATTAGAGATGGTTCCTCAGAAGAAGTTAGGTGCGAGCTGTGGTTGTAAGAGTGGATGAGATTTACTTTGAAACGGAGGAAAGGAAGAAGGATAGTTGAGGCTGGAGACCGGAGTCCTTCTAAAGCAGTGGATAGTAATTGTTGTCTGTCCTTTAGATTTGCCTGCTACCTTTGAAAACTGCACAACATTCTGTCATTTAGGATATTTTGCTATGTAAATAGCAGAATATAGAGGGAAAATGGCTTAAATAATTGGTTATTGACTGAGGTGTAAAGTATCTGGAGACAGCTGTTCAGGATTTCTCCACAGTCCAGGACCCATATATTTCCCATTTCTCCTCAATAAGCCCAGATTATTGGCACAATATTCTCTTTCTTTGGGTAGTTGCTTCACCTGCCTGCGTGTCTTATTTTTACAGGAAAGTCTTAAGGTAAGAAAAGCAATCTCTTTTTCTGTATTCTCCAGGGGCATATAACACTCCCACCCCCAACTTTGCTTGACCTTTCACTAACAGATTTCTCTTCTCATTGGTGAAAGTTGTTTCACACACCCTCATGTTAACTGATCACTGACAAGGTAACTTAGTGTTTACCTTTGTGGTAGAATAGGAAGTTAGAACACCAAAGTTGGAATTCCTTAGACAGAAAAAGTCAATAGTTGCTATGTAGATGAAGCTAATTCACAACTGACTCATCCTGCAATGAAATTACCCCCCCCCCCCAAGATTAGGTCTCTCTTTGTACCCCTGGCTGTCCTGGAACTTGCTCTATAGATCAGGCTGGCTTCAAACTTAGAGAAATCTGCCTCTGGAGTGCTGGGGTTAAAGACTTGCATCACTACAGTCTAGTCTCCCTTCTGTCTTCTCAACCAGGTCTTGCTTTTTAGCTCTGGCTAACCTCAGCCTCCTGAATGCAGAGATTATGAGTGTGTATCAGCCTACATGACTCCTTCCTTGTCTTTGGGGAAAAACCAAAAAAAAAAAAACCCAAAAAAACAGATCGAAGCTGATTTTGGCTTCAAGTAAGTCATGTAATTCTGAAGTAGTTTAGTGTAGGAGAGTGGTAAATATTTGTTGAATTCAAATTTTAAGTGCCACTTTATCAGTTAAAAACTTGTAAAATATGTTTTTGAATCTAGGTGGCAGAGAGAGATGGAATCACTATGATGTATCAAAGTATATTATTAGCAGTATACACTAGGATGTACAAATATACTTTTGTAAAATCCTTTGCTTTATTAGGAGGTTTTTGAAATCAGGCTCTTTAGGTCTCCATTTTACTTGAGTCAAACTTTAGGCTATCAAAATCACTGTTAATTTCTAAGCATTTCTTCTTGTTTACTTTTTATAGTACTAGAATATCCTTGTAATGACATAGATAAACAACCACATGATTGTTTGTTCCATAGTCTTGTTTAACTGTTATATATGTATCTTGGTCAGAAGCACAGAGAAGTACAATAATGTTTCAAAGAGTCAACCTTTTTAAGATTCCACCTTCCAATTATCTATTTATTTATTTGGGGAAGGTAAGGTTTCTGGTAGCTCTGGCTGCCTTGAAACATGTATAGCTGAGGATAGATGGCCTTAACTCCTGATCCTCCTGTGTTTGCCTCCCCAGTTTTATGCAGTTCTGGGGCTTTCTGTATGCAAGGCTCCACTCTACTGGTTGAGCTACACCCCATGCCTTGGACCCACAGATTTGATCAAATGTAATTTTTAGATTTTTTTCAGCAGTCTGTTTTATTTGGTTATATCAAATTCATGTTTTAAGGAATATTAGAAATTGGTCATCACTAGATGGCAGTCTTTCTCCACTTAAGTCATTTCTCAGAAGAGAAAATAGTGCTATCCTTATTTAAGAACAGTCCTGATTGCTAGTGTAAAGGTAACTTAGTAGATCTCTAACTTTTCTAGAGTTTAAGAATTGTTTACTTAAATTTGTTTTCACCATTTATATCTGGTAGGTCTGTTGTTTATTGATGGCTTATGCTGAAATATATTTGAAATGCTGAGTCAGTGTGAACTATAAGGTTTGTTCACATTTACTTTTTATTGTGGTAGAAGCAGTTTGTAATTAAGGACACAAAATGCAATTGTGTTTTCACCTGTTTTATAGCCACATGGAAAGTATGTATCCTTTCACTTGTATATGCACAAAAATTCATACAAAGCCTGGTAGTTGTGGATCCTGTAAATTTCCACAAAATGCGAAATATAGGGTCCTCTTAACAGTGTCTACTTTCCTTCATTTAGATGTGTGTGTGTGTTTTAGATTAAAACTCTACTGTGTTTTTGAGATAGCGCCCTGCTGGCTTGGTACTAATCACTGTGTTGTTGAGGCTCTTGCCCCATCTTCCAGAATGCTATCTAGGATTACAGGCC